AAGAGCTCAAGTCCAAACTGGAAATGGGTGCCATACAGAGGTGCCTCAGCTGGCGGGCAAAGCCACAGCAGTCAATCCTATCTAGCTCTGGATCTGAAGGGTCATAATGAGGCCAAATAGCTCCCAGGCACGGAGAGGGGCAGCATTTGAGACCCAAGGAAACTGCCCTGCGGTCAAGTGTTCAGTCCGAGTAACAGAGGTTGCAGCTCCTGCTTCTGACAGGTGGGTGAACCTGACACAAACAAGGCAGGAAAAACAGTCCTAACTCATCTATAGGCAAGTGCAAAGAACATGAGCTTTAAGTAGATTGATTTCACTTCAAGCAGTGGTTCTCAACCTGGGGGGATCACGACCCCTCGGATTGAATAGCAGATATCCTGTATACCATATTTACATCATGATTCATAACAGTAGCAATGAAATAATTCTATGGGAGGGAGTCACTATAACAGGTGGAACTGTATTAAATGATCGCAGCATTAGGAAGGTTGAGAACCACTGATGGAAGGGTACATTAGTAACTTCCTAGAGGAAGCAAGACTTGCCCAGTGAGTGCTTAGTGTAAGCAGTTATTTACATGGGGCTCCCCATCTGTGTCCAGTGCTGTGCTTGGGTTCTGACAACACCCCAAGATAAACAGGACTTTGTAGTTGAAGGACAGTAACTTAGCAAGAGGAGCCTGAACTCCACAGATAAGCCAAGCAGTTTCCCAGTAGCAGGTGTTAACTTCCCACCTTAAAACCTACGAGCATGATAACTTATGTGGATTGTTCTTGTCAAAGAAGCTCCGGGCCTGTGGGCTTAGATTATACTTAGGGATATACAACTGCAAACCAATTTGGACATTAAACATTACTGAGGTATCTATGTTATAATAAAAATCAACACATCTTAAAACACTGTGGGAGTGGTGATATACCTGAACCTGAGTGTGTATGTATGGGGGGGGGAGGGGGGCTATGTCAAGGCAGAAATTGGTTAAATTTAAGTCCAATTTATACTATGTAATTAGGCCCCATCTCAAAAAAAAAAAATACCCACCCTGAAAAGCATAGTTTGTAAACTCAATCACCTGGAAAAAATACAAAAGCAGTAGCACATTCTGGTTTAGATTTTACGTCAGTATTACGTGTTGTTAGCAGTCTATTAGGAAATCTTCCTTCACTGGACAGAAAAGACAGAATCACTGGAAGTAGGGATGGGGTTGTATCTAGAGGTGGGATATTTGCCTATCAAGAGGCCCTGGCTCAATCCTTGGCACCGTATTAAAAAAAAAATCAGGAAAAAGTCAAACTGGCAAGCAGTAAAAAGCTATAGATGATTCTTTTAAAGCAGCATTTTATTCTTGTTACTGTACATGTGTGCAGAGAAGGCAGAAGAAGGTGTTGGATGCCCTGGAGCTGGAGTTTCGGACAGTCATGGAAAGCCTGGTATAGGTTTTGTTCATCCCTAAGGGTAGCTCATACTCTCAAGTATTACAGCTTTGAGATGGCTCCTATTAACCTTGGAGCACAGATCCTTCACACCTAAGACCAGAAAATACTACTTCTGAGTAGTCTGTAATCCTCAACTGCAAACAATAATGGAATAAAAATGGTCATTTTTGGTTTGTATTTTACCTTCTCTACTTCTGGGAAAATGGGGATTGTATTCTTTTCTAATCATATCCCTCCTGAGATGACTTATCTAAATACCAGACAAGTCTCTGCCAAAAGATGCCAAACACACAAAAAATAAAGTCTTACCCATGAGCACCTTAATCTTGACCTCCAGCTGTAATACAACACACTTTAGGTTCACAATGTTGAAGCGCCATCAGGCTACAGCCTACAATGTGTGATTCGGAGCCCCACCCCTAGCCTGGTCATTCACCTAGCTAGGTTCCTCATGTTCCAGGCAGGACCTATTTACCAATGATTTAACTACATATTTTATGTTGGCCAGACATTTAAATGCATGTATCTGATAATCTTGCTTTTTTTCCATTCCAAGAGAGTTAATCATAAATTTTTAAGTGGAAGTACAAAATACCAAAGCAAAAATTTAACGTCCTCTATACCAATGATGAAATAGCTCAGAATAATTTACTATTAGCAGGGAGAAATATGAGTGAATACTAGGAATTCAAGTCATTGATAATTCTATATCACCACAAGATGAAGTACTCCAGTGGCATAACTTCATTTAATATAACACACACACACACACACACACACACACACACACACACACACACACACACTCCCATGTCATAAGCCTACAGCTCTGACTTATTCTATTCTGCCATCTAGTGGATATACAATTGGGCATTATTCCATTGGATCTGTCTCCCATGCAAGAATAGACACAAGGAATTAGTTGGGGGAAAAGACTGAGCATATAAAGGAACGTGTTAATACCACAGCATAAAACAAGATGCTAAGAAAATGCCAGGCTGGAGTTCCAGCTGTCAAAACAAGTTCAGAAAAATCAAAATAAAATCTATACCACACATGGTGGTCCCAGTGACCATCCCAGTACTTGGGAGTTAGAAGATCAGGAGTTCAAGATCATCTTTAGCTACACGCTACTCGACTTGCTGGGATGACAGGTGTGGGCCTCATCCTTGTTCCAGGGAAGGAAAAGGATAGGATCTCAAGGGACTTGAATTGTGGATCTGATCACTTAGATTTATCGTCAGTTTATAGTATTTTTCTTTTCCTCAAGCACCCATGCCATTATTTGGTGGACCTTTACATTTAGAATTAAAGGGATATAATTTTAACTTTCATCAAAAACTGTACTCAAATGTAAAATCTAACAGCAGGGGGTTAATATTCTTGGCAAGTAAGATGTCAGATAAATTAATCAAAGATAATCATTCTCCTAAGAAAAAGAAAAGGACACAATCAAGCAATCTACAAATAATATAATTCATAGGCAAGACAACTTGTCACTCAGACTTCTGCAAGTTGTCCTCTGACCTCTGCATACTTACTTAGGCATATGTCCCCCAAAAGTGTAAAATATGACAAAATGACAAGATTATAACAATCCATTTTTTTCTCAGTTTAATAGGAAGAAAAATTTGTCAATGGTGTGTACAAAGACAGAAGGAAGCACATACTGGCCAGCCTCACTATAGGGCACCAAGTAGGTGTATTTTGACTTTGAATGTAAACTTCTGGAGATTTATTCTAGGTAATAACTCCAAACTTATACACATAGATATGTATGTAAGGGTATTATAAATTAACTGGTTGTCTATAAAAGCCAAACTGGCCACGGATGAGTTCAACAATTGACAAACAGTTAAATATGTGCACAATATACTGGGACACTGTGTATCTAGTGAAGGTTACTATGCAAAAATAGGAATATCATTAGAAACCAACTTCTCTGAGTAAAAACCAGCAGGTTACATTTCCATATGTATAACATAATACCATTTTTTATTTTTTAAAAAAAGGTGCTTTATTTTCTTTTCTGAGCTTTTCTGAATTTCTCAAAGTATATGTTTACACAAAATAATATCATAAAATATGCATTACAAACTGACCACACTTTCATAGATAATAGCTCATATTTCCTGAACAAAACTTACTGGCTCAGAAATCCCCCCTGAAGATCAGGAACAGCACCCTCTCAAATCTACAAGAGCATGGCTGATTTTGTGTCCTCCCTATAGCATAGGTGAGTAAAAATGCTGTTTTGAATACTCAACTATGCTTTCTAAAGTTGAAACTTCAAAATTGTCATTGTAGTAAACAAACTGCATGTTATTATTTATGCATGACAACCTAATTAAAAGGTATTTATGAATCAACAGCCCTTTCTCAAAAGATGGTATTATTTCTGTCTCTTTTTTCCCTTTCTTTCTTCTTTGTTTCTCCCCATCCTTCTCTCATTTTCCGTTATTCTGTTAGGGATGCAGTCTAAGCCTCACAGTGCTATGCAAGCATTTTACCCCAGCTACATGACCATCCCTATGTATGGTAGATTTCCCCAATGGTGAGGATTGAACTCAGAGCCCTGTAAATGCTTGGTAAGTACTCTACCACTAGTCACATCCCCAGAGCATTTTAATATGTAACTTATGAGAACAAGATAAGATATCCAGTCTGCTCAAAAAGAAAATAATAACTGTAATGCATTGAAACTAGCTGTTTCTGCCAGTGCGATAAAGTACTTGTGAATCATACTATGCTCAGTACAAACGGCCTAAGAACTTTGTAACTAGAACTTCACTAACAAAACGTAATAACAATTGATGTAGTAGAATTCAAATACTACAGCTTTGTAAATATAGCATAAATAAAATTTAAGTCAATTCAAATAATTCAAAATAATTTATTTTTAAATTCCACAAAATAAAACTATTATTTACATCAGTTGCAATAGCACTAAGAATTAGAAATCAACTTGTCTCAACTCTTGAAAACAATTATGAGCATAAGACAAAATTAAAAGAAACAAAAAGAAAAAAAACTAAATGCTTTTCTTAGGTGACTGGTTATGAGACTGCTGTGACACACCCACCTGTAGATATAAACAGCAGACACATTCAAAACAATTTATTTACACTTCCAACAGATCCCAATTGTTTTTAATTACATGTGCAAGTTTTTGTAGAATCACAAAAGTCAGTCTCTCTGACTCTATATACCCAGCTTATGCCAATTCAGAAAGCTCCACATCAACACAGCGCTGTGAAATCAGCAACAGCCAAAGCTTATAGTCCTCACGACCAGTCTGCTGTGCATGGTTTTGTGTAAAAAAGGAAAAAAAAAAAAAAAGAAAGAAAAAATTCTTTTAAACTATGTATATACAAGAAAAAATATCTTTCATATCCATTTCTGAACTTAAAACCTATATACATAATCCTTTCTTGCTTTCAACAAGTTCAGATATGGACTGACAGTGGGACGATTTCACTGACTCTTTAAGAGTTCTATAGAAGAGATGAATACAACATACTGTATCTTCTGTAAGAAGGATGAGCTGAAATGTCAGGTATTCCGTGTGTGTGTGTGTGTGTGTGTGTGTGTGTGTGTGTGTGTGTGTGTTTAAATGTATTAAAGGAATTTTGCTCTTGTAAACATTGGCCTTCAAGAAAATCTGAGGCCAAAGTGCATTACTACAGGATCTCCTAACGTCAACCAGACCTTGTTTGTTTGTGGAATCGGGGTAAACGTGTAGAATTTATCTTGCTAGAAAAATAGACAACCATTTTTCTTCCTTTTTGTTTTCTGATTATCACAATTAAACATCAGAAGATGCTGCTGTTGATTTCAAGGACACACAACTTTTGTGGAAGCATCTAGTTCCCTGGTACTTCACCCATGGAGGCCGAGGCAGCACTGTCATGGTATGAGTTGTCACTGGGTGCCTGAGGATTTCTCCTGTGGTTCACTGGCAGATGCAGACTGAGCAACACTTGGTGGTGGTGTGGAGGAGTGAGATGGAAGTCTATGGCGATTACTCTCCTCCCCATAAGTAGATGAATGTCTTTTTCTTCCAAATTCCTCACTAATAGGGGGCTGCAAAGCATGAAAAGACAGCATAGTAGACACTTTTCACTACTCCTCTCAGAGTGTAAAGCCAGACTTACCAACCAGGGGATTCATATTGGTGCTTTGTAGACTTCAGCAGTATAATGAATTCTTACAGCAACTCACAGGATTAAATTCACATTTCCTTGGCAGACTGGGATTAGCTTGTTCAGTCACAAGAACTGGAGAAGCTCCTCTCATGTTTAAGGAATAAGCACAGAGGGTTCCCTCCCTCCAAAAAAAACACTTGGATGTGTTGCAATTCTAGTCCCTTCCTTACCACTGAGCTCCTATTCTGGGCCTCTCTAGTGTCTAATGTTTAACAGCTGAATAGAACCAGAAAGGGGAGAAAAGTGCCAAGCTAAACAGCCTCAAGCCAGTTTGACATTTCACCCAGGGTTCCCATGATAGAGGGACTAGATAGCATTATTGAAGATACTAAATTTAAACACCTTCAAACTCATTTAGACTGCAAGCAGGAAGAGAGAAGGTACTCTGTATTTAAAACAAGTGCTTTGAGGCGTTTTTTTAGTTATACAGTTATAGATCCAACTGTAAATATAGTTAGACTAATATTTTTTAATCTAAAAGACAAGTTAAGCTGGGCAGTGGTGGTGCACACCTTTAATCCCAGCACTCGGGAGGCAGAGGCAGGCAGATCTCTGTGAGTTCGAGACCAGCCTGGTCTACAAGAGCTAGTTCCAGGACAGCCTCCAAAGCCACAGAGAAACCCTGTCTCGAAAAACAAACAAATAAATAAATATAAATAAATAAATAAATAAATAAACAAGTTAAAACAGTCATCTTCAGCTGGGCATTGGTGGTGCACGCCTTTAAACCCAGCAGAGGCAGGTGGATCTCTGTGAAATAGAAGCTGGCCTGGTTTATGGATCGAGTTCCAGGACAGGCTCCAAAGCTACACAGAGAAACCCTGTCTCAAAGCAAAACAAAACAAAACAAAAACAACAACAAAACAACAACAAACAAAAACAAAGACAAAAAAGCCAGTCATCTTTTCCCTCCTTCTGTTGTACTTGGAATTGATGGTCTACATCTGTGGCTTACATTGAGCCAGGAATGACACCTTTTCTACTTTTCAGCCCCACCCCCCACCCTGTTTCCTCCTTTGCAGTTATTTTCTTGGTTTAACCCTTTTCTTTTGCAGTTGAAATCAAACCAATTAAAGTACCTACCAATTAACAGCATTAATTTGCCAGGAATCTACCCATTCCAAGCTACAAACACACACACTAGGCTCAGCCCTTACACTAATTTTTATGATGAAGGAACTCTAAATGCATATTAGCAGTCCTATAAAATTATATGGATAAAAGCACATTAAAAAAAGGTAGAAAGTTGGTGGCTGGAGAGATGGCTCAGAGGTTAAAAGCACTGGATGTTCTTCCAGAGGTCCTGAGTTCCCAGCAACCACAAGATGGCTCACAACCATCTGTAATGAGATCCTGTGCCCTCTTCTGGCCTGCAGGCATACATGCAGACAGAACACTGTATACATAAATAAATCTTTAAAAAAATCTTCAATTCTAAAAAATAAATAGAAAGTTGGGGCTGGAGAGAGCAGATAAGAGGATCAGGGTCGATTCCTAGCACCTACATCAGGTGGCTCATATCCTCCAGTAACTCCAGCTCCAGGGGATCCAAAGCCCTCTTCTGGATTCTGTGGGTTGTCTCCATACATGCATACACACATACACAAATAAAGTAATCTTCGAAAAAAAAAAGGTACAAAGTTTGGGTGATGATACAGCTTAGTGGTGAACACTTGCTCAGCATGCACAAGGCCCCTGGTTCAATCCTTAGCATGGAAAACAATCCAAAGCTAAACCAGACAAAATTTAGTGAAAAAGCTTCACATCAGAAACACCAGTGGTATCTCCTCAGCCTAGAGACCATATAAGTATGGTTGCATATCCAAATTCAAATGCACTGACAAGTGTACCATTATGTAAGGTGTTCACATTTGAGAAATCCTCTCCCTTCCTCTCTCTCTCTCTCCTTTCTCTCCTCTCTCTCTCTCTCTCTCTCTCTCTCTCTCTCTCTCTCTCTCTCTCTCTCTCTCTCTCTCTCTCTCTCTCTGTGTGTGTGTGTGTGTGTGTGTGTGTGTGTGTGTGTGAGAACCTGTATGTGGAGACCAGATGTTGATGTTGGATATCTTCCTCTGTCACTGTTCACACTGTCTTTGGAGACATGGGCTCTCACTAACCCTTGGATAGGGCTGGCTGGCCACTGTTCCCACCCGTTTCCCCAGTTCAGGGTTATAGATGCACACTCTACTGTGCTCAGCTTTCACATGGCTGGGATATCTGCTGCAGCTTTAGCAAGTACTTTACCAACTGAGCCATCTCCCAAGCCCCCAACTTTGGGAGATCTAAATGAAGAAAATAATGGTAATTTTTTTTTATCTATTTTTGTACCTGCTTTCAAAGTTTGATGTCAAAATGAAAAGTTAAAATTTCAAAATTAAAAACTAAAAAATTTAAGATTAACATTATAAAAATTTGTTATCAAGTTATACAGGTGATAAAAACAATAGGGGACAGAAATTAAAACTTACATCAACACGGAAGTCTTCTAACTTCTTAAAACTACAGAGGTACTCCTGAAGTTTTGGGTCCACAGACTGTGTCTTAGATTGAGAATATTTCAAATAGGCCCAGAATTTTTCCAGTCCATATAGCTGGCCTTAAAAACAAAAGAATATATGTTATACAGAACTAACAAATCTATCATGCATATGATCCCACCATTAGTAAACCACTTACGGTCCATTAAGACACAGTAAATTAGCAATGGTGGCAGCTAATATTCACTGGTCATTTGTTATATAACAGATACTATTTAAGTTTTTAATCACAGATCAAAATAATCTGAACCTCATGTAACCAGCCTGGTTAGATGGTTCCTCTTGTCTACCTTACAGATGGGAATACAGGAACTGGCAAGGTGGAGGAAGTGGAAGTCACATGGCTACTAAGCAAGAGAAAGGGACTCAGAGTTATATGGACCAGAGCCCACGCTTCTCATTTGCCTTGCCAAGCACACCAATGAGTAGCCATGTTTATCAAGAAGTTAATGTTGACTTACACCTCCATAAGGTAAAGGCACCAGCACTGGGGAAGCAGAGGCAGGCAGATCTCTGTAAGTTCAAGGCCAGCCTGGTCTACAGAGCAGGTTCCAGAACAGCCAGAGGTACACAGAGAAACCCTGACTCAAAAAACCAAAACCAACCAACCAACCAAACAAACAAATAGCTTCACAGGAGGAGCATTCTCACTACTACATGGTGTCCCACCAGCATGAAGAACTAACAATAGTGGGCAGGACCTTAAATGATTTGTCCTGAGGATAAAAAGCTACAAATTATTTTCTTCTTTTCTAAAACTGCATGTTTGTGTGTATGTGTGTGTATGAGCACACTAATGTACACACACACACACACACACACACACACACACACACACACACAAAGTAGGTACAGGCCAAGATGCTTTTTAGAGTAGATTTTTAGAGTAAATTCTTTCCTTTCATTACAGGGTTACAGGTTTGGCAACAAGTGCCTTTACCCACTGAGTCATCTTGTCAGCCTCCCTTTCTATTTATTGACAGTTCAAGTCTACAGTTTACAAACACAGTGTTTGTTTTTACCAGATTCGTAGTCTTTTTTGGTTTCTTCTTGAAAATCCTTAAAAATTTCTTGTCTGAATTTTTTTTCCAGTCCATAACTATAAAACCTGAAAAGACATTCTAACCCATACCTGTGGGAAGGAAGAAAAAGGTATAAAGTTGTGGCTTTGCTAGAATCATGCTAGCACCTCATAGTGATATCTCATACAAGCAAACATGGCACAAACCTTAACAGAGATAATTTCAGTAGTATTTCTTGTTTTTGTTTTCTGAGACAGTGTCTCACTCTGTACTCAAGGCTACCCTAGAACTCACAATGTAGTTTTAGTTGGCCCTGAACTTGCCAGCCTTCTGTCTCAGCTTCATAAATTCTTGGATAGTGCAGATTTTTAACTGACATGCTGATCAGTGCAGGACAGTGTTATTTCCCAACTGGTCAAAAGATCCAGTGACATTGATTGAAAATGTTTTAGATTTTTCTCAAAGCAAAGTTTAAATTATGTACTTGTTTGTTGAATATAATCTTTTGTCTGAAAAAGTCCACATTTTTTATCTCTTCAACTATAATGGTATAAGCTTAATTAAATGGATATTGATAGTTCTAAAATATATTCACAGCAGATCTATTGACAAGAGGACTATAAACTCATTTTACAAATCAGAAAAGCATTTTCCATGTTATTTCTTCAAACTCCCTAGAGAACCTGGGACAAGTACTGAGGATTCTGTCTTGGAAGCTGCCCTTCTTTCTTAGTCTGCTCTGTGAATAGCTACACTGAAAAATACTCTATGGAAGGCAGCTGTGGCTAGGAAATGATACCTTGGCCAACAGCCAAGGTAAGGATACCAAAAAGATCCTGCAGAGATCAGGGAAATACCCTGAATGAAATCCTATGAGGGACGTTGGGTTGGAGCTATCTGGCTAGGTGGCTCCTATAGTCTTGTCCTTAGGAGTTAACAAATGTTCATTTTACTCTTGAGTTTACGGGTTATTTACTATGTAGCAACAAAAAACAAATATAATCCTCATTCCAGTTATGTTGTGGTTATTTCAAAATCAGACTACTTGAAATTGTGTTTTTAAAAAGAAAATTAGAAAAAGCATTAGGAAACGTTTGACCTGTAATTCTCTTTTGCATCTTCCCAAGCAAGTTGTCTAAATTCCTCATACATTTTCCTATTGAAGTGGTCTCTGAGGAAGAAGGACCAGAAACGAAAGAGGGTGTTCATTTCCTGTGACTGTCCGATTCCCAAGCGTTTTCTCTCTGGAAAGAAATAATACCTCAAAATGAAACAACACCAACCCTGAAACAGTAATTGAGATTCTCCTAAATATAGGACCAACAGTAAATCTATGACACACTGCTCAAGTTATAAGTACTTGTCAACAGTAGCAAGAAGAATGTACTAAATTCATTTACTAATGTGTGTAAGCTGTAAAAAACACAGGAATATATAAATTAAAAGTGTTTATTTGTAAGTACAACAAAATAAAAGGCTATTTTAGCAAGATATCAAGTGACAGTTCAAGTTTTAGAATCTCCTGTAACATCAATGCAGCTAGACAAGGACAGGCACCTTGCCATTCTGACTGAGTTCCCTATGATGCCAACACAGCTAGGCAAAGGACAGGCATCTTACCACTTAAACATCTTCGACGATACTTGTGGTACACTTGTTGGGTGAATCCGTTTTCCTTCAGCAGTTCATGAGAAGGGTGCTGGAACTTTGGGAATGAGTGAGGAGTGCAGCTGCAGCTTCCTGTGAGTGGTGCACCTTCGGAAGGTGACGCATTTGAACTGCTGTTTGAGAAGAGGAAAAGGTATCAGCAGTTTACCCCAAACAAGAGGACTGTGTTCTCATCACCAGAACTTGTGTGAGCCATGTAAGGACATCCTTAACTATTGATGCACACATCGACAGGAGTGTTGCTATATAGGGCCAATACAGCACTCAGAACAATGCCATAATTCACTAAAACTCTAAAAAGAAAATTGAACAGCTCATTTACTCTTCCAGATTATTTGTTTGAGATTAGTTTTTTTCTCTCTCAACATTACAGTACTAGAGCAAACCTCAACTTAACTATATAAAAATGAATGATGGAAATGAGAGAAAGTCTGACAGGATGAAACCAGCAATCTCACCTTCCTAAAGTCACACCTGAATGTGCTTAAATTGGTCTCCCTCTGCAATACTTGCCACCTTGGTCTGTCTTTCATAAGAACCCTTTGAATATTCGAGTCTAGGCCTTCTTCTACTTGCATTCACTATTCCTCTACCTTGACACCAAGATCCTCCTAAGACAGTGATCCACATGAGCAGTTCTCAAAGTGCAGGCAGGCCCTGGAGGGTACAGGAGAACCCTCGAAAAGCCTGCAAACCCAAACTGTCTCCATACAACACTAAGACACTGTTGTCTCTTTCTAGTGTGTTGGAGTCCATCCTAACAGGACATCCTAACAGCGATGGTGTGTTGACATAAGCTGGGGCTGTGGTCAAAGTTTATTAATGACTATATTCTTCCCTCCTATGTGCTTGCAGTGAGAAAAAAAAGTAGCTTTACTTCTGGATGAAGTGGAAAAATTAACTCTATGACATCACAGCTACAGAGTGCTCATCTATTCTGTATGACAAAAGCATGGAAGCTTCAGATCTGTATGGTGGAAATGTCCTGAAAACCTTTGTCAACTGCACACCTACAGCAGGATGGAGCTGGAGACATGGCTCAGGAAGTGGCATGCACAATCTACAGCCCCAGCACTTGGGCTTTGGGAAGCCAGGCAAATCCTGGATGCTCACTAACCAGACAAATGTGGCCAAAATGAAGAGCTCCAGGTTCAGCGTAAGACATCTCAAAACAGGAAAGGTGGGGAGTGACAGAGGAAGACAATCAATATTGACCTCTGCCCTTTACATTTGCATGTATGGAGGCACATACCTACACATGCACAGTTAAGACAGTAAACTTGCTGGGTTTTTATTTTTTTTGTGTGTGTTTGTTTACCACAATTTAAAGATATGTGACAGAAACAATGCTTACATGGTCTATTAAAGAACAGATGTCTCGTGCTAAAACACTCAGGTGACTGAGGTAAAATATGGGCTTTCACATGGAGTACTGTTTTTAAAAAACTATTTACTCATGTGCATATGTGTGCTTCCATGTGCATGCCACAGTGCATAGGTAAAGGTCAGACAACAACTTGCAGAACCCTTGGGATAGGACTCAGGTTATCAGACTTATTGGCAAGTGCCTTTATCTACTGAGTTATCTTACCTGCCACAGTACTGTCTGAATTAGAATGACCAATGATTGCATTCTCTAGGCTTCTTTATTTTGTGAAATGTTGTCTTGACTGGGTCTTTAACATCAAGAAAAATTACTGAGTACTTTCAATGATAAAACTTGAGTTTTCAAGCAAAAATGAGATTTTATAAATTCTGTATTTGTCAGAAGCCTAAGCAGATTTTTTTTTCCTGACAGGTGGTAGTAGCACACACCTTTAATCCCAGCACTTGGGAGGCAGAGACAGGTAACTTCGAGGCCAGTCTGGTCTACAGAGTGAGTTCCAGGACAGAGAAACCTTGTCTCGAAAAAACAATAACAACAAAAAAAAGATTTTTCCTACTGACACCTAAAGACCTTTCTAATAAAATAATGGCCTTTTTATGCTTATGTTTAAGTATATGCAATGTAAATTACCATGTTAAACACTATGTGTAAGGGTATAATTCATTGGCATTGCATATACAATGGTATGCAGTCACCAGCACCATCCACACCTGACTCTTAGCATATCCAACACTGTACCTATTAATCAGGACTTCTCCTACCCACAACATGGCCTCCATTCTATTCCATGTCTGGGCCTGTTTTACCTACATTATGCCAGTATGATGACTCTATTTATCCCTCTGTATCCAGATCATCTCACTAAGCACTTGTCATTTTTTTTTCAAGGTCCATCTTTGTATCAAGAATCAAATTTCAGGATCCAGGAGTGTGGACCAGCAGAGGAGTGCTTGTCTACACATCCAAGGTGTTGAGTTTAATCCAAGCAATATAAAGAAATTCATTCTTTTTATAGCTGAATAACATCTATATTCTACTGTTTCGACAAGACATTGTGCTTATTTAGTCATATTGATGGACATTTGAGTTTCTAACTTTTGGTAATGAATTATTGCTGCTATCAGCATGGGTCTACAAATGTCTTTATGACTTCCACATAGGGCTGAGCAGAAAGCTTTAGGCAAAGTGCTTGCTTAGAAGCATGAGCGCCTGAATTCAATACCTAGAACTCACATTAAAAATAAATAAAAATAAAAATCGCCGGGCTGTGGTGGCTCACGCCTTTAATCCCAGCACTCGAGAGGCAGAGGCAGGAGGATCTCTGTGAGTTCGAGACCAGCCTGGTCTACAAGAGCTAGTTCCAGGACAGCCTCCAAAGCCACAGGGAAACCCTGTCTCAGAAAAACAAAAAACAAAAAACAAAAAAACAAAACAAACAAACAAACAAATCAGGCAGTAGCACATGTTGGGAGAGATGGACGAAGGTATATCTCTGGGGCTTACAAAGAAACCAGCCTAGTGTTCTAGGCAAGTTCAAGGCTAATCAGAGACTGTCTCAAAAAAAGGTAGACGGTGCCTAAGGAACAACAGCTAAGGCTGTCTTGACCTTGACATGAATAGAACACCTGCATGACACACAAAAATGTACACATGTATACCCAAATACATATGGGCATGTACAATATCTCAGGGTTTCTATTGCTGTGATGAAACACCATGACCAAAAAGCAAGTTGGGGAGGAAAGGGTTATTAGGTTTACACTTCAGCATTGCTGTCCATCACTGAAGGAAGTCAGGGTCAGGACAGGATCCCGGAGGCAGGAACTGATGCAAAGAACATGGAGAGGAGCTGCTTATTGGCTTTCTCCTTATGGCTTGCTCAGTCTACCTTCTTTTAGAACCCAGGACCAACAGCCCAGGGACAGCAGCACCTACACTGATCACTAAATTAAAAAATGCCTTACAGTTGGATCTCATCAAGGCATTTCCTCACCTGAGGCTCCTTCCTCTGATGACTTCAGCTTGTGTGAGTTGATACACAAAACAAGCCAATATATATACACACAGAATACCTCTGTAGTATATAGCAAGGCCACACAGTAATTCTTCATCTTGACATTTTGTGAAAATGCAGAACTCTTCAATAGAGGTTTCAGCGTTTTAAATTCCACTAGCAATACAAGAAGATTCCAATTTGTCTGCATCCTCAAAAACATTTTCAGAAGGTTTTTATATTTCTATAATCATCTTGGGCTATAACAAGACAGAACAGACTTGGTTGGCTTAAACAGAAATGTATTCCTTTAAATCTAGAGGTTAGAAGCCCCAAAACAAGATGGCCAGTAGAAAAGGTCTTCTGGTTCTTTTCAGTCAATTTGTCACAAACTGGAGTAGCCTGGGAAGAAGGAACCTCAACTGAAGAATTACCTCCATCAGTGCCTATAAGTAACTTTGTGGGGACCTTTCTTTCATTAATAATTGATGTAGGAGCCCCTAGCTCCTGGGGTATTTGAAAGCAAGTCAGTAAGCAGTGATCCTTTTTGGTCTATGTTTCAGTTCCTGCCTTGAAATTCTGTCCTGATGTCACTAAGTGATGGACTGGGACCTGGGAGTTGTAAGATTAAATAAATCCTCCCTCTACCAAGCTGGTCTTGGCCAATATTTTATCACAACAGAGAAGCAAACCAGGACACTCTGAGTGGTGACATACACCTGTAATCTTAGGATTCAGGAGGCAGAGGGCAAACAGGTCACCTGTTGAAGCCAGCATGCTCCACATAGCATGTTCCAGACTGGCATCTCAGAAACAATGGTGGGAAGAGAACTCAGTAGTATAGCAATTGCCTACCATGCACAAGGCTCTGGGGCTTGATTCTCAGCATCCTTCTGTCCCCAAAAATAGAGCTGATTTCTAGTGAAACTTCTCTTGACTTGTATGTGACCACCTTCTTGCTATGTCCTGTCTTCTGTTCAGGCACAAAGAAATATGCCTGGTGTCTGCATCTTCTTATAAACCTCCTTAAATGGCCTCATTTATTGCCTCCTTAAAGTCCCTATCACACACTTACATGAGGGGTTAAGGCTTCGATATATGGATTCTAGGGTACACAATTCTATTCACTTGACCTAGTAGTATCCTGTTATAAGTTTCTTTTTAGTTTTTGTCTAGCCAAGGACTATGTTACAATTCTTTTAGTGGGCTGAGTTGCCACTTGTATGCCTTACCTCTCTAAAGAAATGTCCATTTAGGTTTTTCACACATTCTAAAATCAACCTGTTTTTTTTCTTTAACAATATATTTTCATTTAATTGGGTGAGTCCACCCATGTGCATGTGGCAATGCAGATGACTGGAGTCGAGAATGCTAGCTCTCTGTAGCTGGAGTTATAAGTAGTTGTGAACATTCATCAGGATGCTAGAAACTGATGTTATGACCTCTGTAAAAGTAGTGCACATTCCAAGGCTGCCCACTCTCTCCATATCTCTTCAATATTGTACTTGAAGTTCTAGCTAGAGCAGTAAGACAACAAAAGGAGATCAAGGGGATACAAATTGGAAAGGAAGAAGTCAAACTTGGACTATTTGCAGATGATATGATAGTCTACATAAATGACCTGAAAAATTTGACCAGGGAACCCTACAGCTGATAAAGACCTTCAGTAAAGTAGCAGGATACAAGATTAACTCAAAAAAATCAGTAGCCCTACTATATATATAGATGATAAA